TAATTTGATAGCACCTATTCAACTCATTCTCGCTTATTTTGTAGGACCATGTTATTGGTTCTTTCTTTCTGGTGTACGTTAATATGAAGCATTTATCTGCATTAAGTTCAAAATGATTAGCATTACACCAATCCAAGACAAGGTCAATGTTGCCTTGTAAAATTTGGCAGTCCGAATTTAAACTGTAATGAAAAATTTTGAGGTCATCCGCATAGAGCAATTTTTGACATGTAATTATCATAGCTAGGTCGTTTATATATAACAAAAACAATAGAGGTCCTAAATTCGATAGTTGGGGAATCCCAGATGTTGGCGAGAAAATATCAGAGTGGTGCCCTTCATATTCCACAAATTGCAAATAAATACGATTTAAGCAAGCTTAGAAGACGTGCCGAAAACCCAAATCCTTGTAATTTTTTCATTAAAATGTATAAGTCTACTCGGTCAAATGCCTTCTGTAAATCAATGTAAACTACATCCGTCTGTCCTCTGCTATAAAGGTTTTCACTGATGGATTGAGTAATACATACCAGATTTGACGTACAAGATTTTTTCTCTTGGAAGCCATGCTGCTACAAGTAGGTTTTTAGTGTGAATATAAATCACTTCATAAACAATAATTTCAAATAGCTTTGAAAAGTTGGATACTGCAATGATTGGGCGGTAATTTTTAATTAAAGCTCTATCACTCTTCTTCAGCACCGGGGTAACTCTGGATATCTTCCAGTTGTCTGGAAAGATGCCCGCCTATAATCACCTTATTTTTTAACTTTTTCGCCGCGTTAAGAACATCAGCTTCACATATTTGAGGTAAATCTATAAACAAGGAGTTTTCATAATCCAGGATTACACTTTCACTAAGGTTTTGATCAGGAGGTGTATAAACTGTCGAAAAATACTGTTTATATGAGTCAACAATATCTTGGGGTTTTGTTAAGGTAGTTTCATTATATTTCATCATACCAGGTAAACGGGATATTCCTTTTTTACTGTGGATAAAATTCCAAAACTGAGAAGAATCTGATAAAATATTGTTTTCTGCTGCCAAAATAAAATTACGATATTCGTTGTCAGCTTGAGTTTTTATCGTCCTCGTAAAGGATGCCATTGTGTGTCGAATAGGTTAAAAAATACTGGATCTTAATGTATTCTGGATTTTAATGCATGTTGTCACTGATATATTTTTTTATATTGGTAAGAGAAAAGTGTATCTGCTATTTTGAAATTATCAACTAATAACTTGTTTTTGTGCAAATTCAGTTGGTGATCATCATAGACATTCGAACAAAGTGAGATACTGTGTACAGTGGAAGTTCGTAGCATCAAGATTTTTGTTTTGAGAGAGTTAAATCTCATTACACTGCTAATTCTGTCACAAATCGCATATATTGCATCAAAGAGACAACATAGGAGAAATCTCCACAAGAAGCAAGGAGAATCGGTGTCCATCGTACCGCAATCCTTGGAACAGCATACACACCTATCGAGAGACCATCTGATTCAAATACTATTAAAATATATTCTGTATTGTGCCATAAATTAAGTGTCAATATGAATAGTTTGCATCAAAATTATTCAAACAGAAGAATCGATATTTTTTTAGCGTAAACGAAATTTGTCTCCTCCAAAACACATTGTGCATCACTGTCTACACCGATTTTGCCGATATAAAGACACCTTAGCGATGGCCTACTCTTATCCGTTGCGGTATCCGAGCATAGCTATGTTAAAACAAACGCAACGCAAACGCAAACCGTCATCAGTTCATGAAGTAAGTGAAGTAAGTTCAGCACAAGTTATAGCCTCGGAGTGAAAAATAGTCAGGGACATATACAATGGTGAAATCAAACGGATCAGGTTAGTCAAGCAGGGTCATACCCATATCGTTGGATGCGGCACCGCGTACCGCAGCACCGCTGTAGTATGAGTAGAACAATCAAGCAGACAGTTACACCGGGTGCTGAGCAGATAACAGAAGGAGAGGCGTATAGAAAATGTTACCTTCATCAAAGAACTCAGTGTGTTTTTCTCAATCAAGAAATGTCTCAAGTGACAATAATTTCCTCAGGCGTACCTCAGGGCTCTGTATTGGGGCCGCTTCTGTTCCTCATATATACGTTCGACTTGAGCAAAAGTATTGATAATTCTCACGTCCAGTCATTTGCAGACGATACGCAATTGCTTCATTATTTTAACCCAGATAATGTCAATAATACTACTCAAATTTTACAAAACGATGTTAATAAATTAATTAAATACTCTTTAGATCACAATCTACTTATTAATCCACAAAAATCTAAAATGTTATTATTTTGCGCACAAAGAAAAACATACAATGTAACACAGCTCTTGAACATTCAGATAAATAACCAAATCTTGCAATTTTCTGATTCTGCAAAAATTCTTGGTGTTGTTTTTGATACAAAATTAAGGTTTATTGAACATGTTAAAAGTCTATCTCAGAAAACCTACCTACGGCTGCGCACTCTTATAGCAAACAGGTATTTACTAAATTTTAAGATGCGTAAAAAACTATGTGAAGCATTGGTCATATCTATACTAAATTATTGTAATATCGTATACTATACTTGTTTAGACAATTTCACTAAGAACGTTATTCAAGTTATTCAAAACAATTGTATACGATTCATTTTTGGCTTACGTAAATTTGATCATGTATCGGCGAAATATCCCGTTCTAAACTGGTTAAAAATTAATGACATGGTCAAGTATCACTATTCAGTTTTTGTTCACAAATTGCTGCTCACGTCTAAACCTTATTACTTGAAGGAAAACATTTCATTTAATAATGATGTTCACTGTAGAACTCTCAGAGAAAATAATATTAGAATACCCCTGCATACGTCTACACTTTTTAAACGCAGTTTTTCTTACAATGTTGCTATTATTTATAATGACCTTCCTAAAGTATATAAAGAATTTTCATTACCTGTCTTTCGACAAAAAGTTAAAACATTATCACTCAACCCTCCAAACATATAATTTACGTAATCATTCATTTCTTTTTTATTCCATCCTTAATTCAGATTAATAATATTTTGGTGCATTTGGGTTTGGAAAGTATGCCTTTTTCTCTTTTTTTTAAATTTTACTTTCGATGTAATGAACCAAATCTGTTTGTGGATAGTGTATTCTTTTGAACATCTGCTAGAGACTATATGGTTAAGTGTAAGAGTAGCAGCATGCTAAACTTCGCCATATAAGTCTGACATTTGGCTATACTACAATGTAATTGTGGATAAATAAAGACGTCTATTATTATTATATAGTTCTGTTTTTGAAGGCAAATGTACGTGGAAGTCTATGATGTGATGAAGCATCAAGACACGAAGTTGAGGTGATTTTTATTTTCTTTAGCTTTTAGCCTTTATCTCCGCCGCTACTGGACCTATTTTGAAAAACTACAAAGCTTTTTCGTCCTTGACATAGTAGCAGTATTGTACGAAAATTTCACAAAAATCCGAGAAGTACTTTTCACTTGAGAGCTGTAACTTTATAGGCGGTTATAGGATTAGCGGACAGACAGACCGACAGACAGACTGCCAGCAGACATGGGGAGTGAAAAGAGGTACATTATTATTTTTACAAGTTGCATAAGACATTATGAAGTTTAAAATTAACACAACAATAAAAAATAAGTATAAAGCATAAGGCATAAGCACATGAAAACACAGCAAATACATCACATCAAAACATCGAAAAGCTAGTACTTCTGAACTAATTCAGCTCACAGTGGCATTCATCATTGACTTAACCGCATTGGACGGAATGCTGTGCAGTCTTGGGAGGTAAGACGTAACTTACAGGATCTTTCTGGATCAAAATTTGTGCCCTGACGACACTTCCTTTGTTGACGTCGCGTCGAGCCGCCTATGATGATTGGGGGTATGTGAAGGGGGCACCACGTTAAAGCGCCTTAGCCCTGGGCGTTAGCAGCGCGCGCTATTATTTCTTGCTAAACTTCCCTTAATTTATGCGTGGAATATTTCATGCTTTTGGCGAGCGACGTTTCTGACCAGGTTTTAGCCCTCCGTCGCTCTCGTGGGAACTAGCAAGAAATTTGTCCTCTGGTTTTGTGCTAACGTCGATCATTATGGATTTATTAATAAGAGGACCAGGTGTGTCCTACGGGAGAACTAAAGGATATGACGGATTCACGGCGGCCTTCTTAATGTCCTTGTAGGATTATAGGTTGTGTTGTAATTACTGTTGTGGGAAGAGATAGTCTATTTGGTTGTGGTTCTGGTAGGATATAATCAACTTTTTCAGCTATTATGCAACTTCTTCTACGGTCAGTCGGAAAGTTTGCCACGTATCTCCACGTGCCCTGGTATCCAACCCAGTGAGAATTGGTGCTTATAATAACATCTAAAGCCAGTCCTTACAGTCGACAACGTTTCCAGATGTTAGCCTACAGGCACGTGTCGCTATCCAAGAAGGTAGTTATTCGTCTCCTTGTGTATCTGTGATACGAAATACACATTACAGCTTAATATCTGTCTTCAAACAAAATCTGAGGTTAGCAACTGGATCAAGATGGTGGAAAGTGAGAAGTCGTCTGAAAATTCGTCTCTTAAAAAGAATGAAAAAAGAACGTCATACTGTGCCTACACTGTAAAAAAAAGTTGTGAACGTAGTGAAGTGCAAAAAGTGTAATAACTCGTTTCATCCTGCTTGTCTGGAGCAGGCAGGCGAGTTGAAAAATACCAATTGTATGCACGAATCAAGAAAGGTTAGAAGAGAGAGTGTAAACATGCTGCTCTGTGAAGATTCAACGGAGTTGGATCTTCTAAGAACGCTAGTGAAAGAACTGCAAAGCAAAAATCGAATCGCGGAAGAAAACAGTCAACTTTTGAGAGAAAAGGTGCATTTCCTTGAAGATAGAGTTGATTATCTAAATAAAAAGGTCCACCAATACGAAAATACCAAACATCCATCGGATTCAGTGACATCTAACGAGGAACCTCGCAAAATCCATAATGCGGTTGCAAACAACGAAATTAATAATTCTGGAAAATCTTAGTGCTGAACCAGTTGACGACAGTGGCGCACTGCCTGCGGCCAACTCCCCTGTCATCGTGAATTCAGCGCCCATCGCTACTCGGACTGAGAAAGATGAAGACAAATGGGTAGAGTTTAGAAACCGAAATAAAAATAAAATCTCGGTCAGAAACAGACCTGTTGATAAATCCAGTCGACCTGAACCTTTGAGAGGCTCCAATGTAAATATATGCAGCCTTAGACCAGCATCCAGAGTATCATCTTTGTTTTTATCTGGCCTGGCACCAGAAGTTACCAGCGAAAGCGTGAAAAATTTTCTGAAAGAAAACAACTTTAATGAATAGACCTGCGAAAAGATGAAAACCAAGAAAGAAAAGTACTGCAGCTCATTTCGACTTACTGTTCCTCATGATGACATTGATAAATATTTATGTCCGGATCTGTGGCCAAGGGGCATCCTAATAAACCATTTTCGGAACCTGCAGCGCCAAAATATGGTAAAGGAAAACCTAAACAGCAGGAAGTAAAGATTCTGCATATAAACGTGAGATCCCTAAGAAGAAAGATAGATGAGTTGGAAGCCTTTCTTGTTGACGAGGACATTGATGTACTGTGCCTGACAGAACATTGGTTGACCAAAGAAGAAATGGAAGTTGTCCATTTGCAGGGATACATGATGAGAGGGTCTTCTGAACGCAAGGACTTCACAGGTGGAGGAACTGCAATTTTTACCAAAAATAAATTTAATTTAGGCGTTATAAGTATTAATCCTGCCTTTTATATTGAGAAATGTATTGAGTACTGTGTGGTTTATTGTCAGAGTCTGAATGTTTATGTTTTAACTATTTACAGATCTCCTTCAGGGAATTTTGATACCCTCTTGGAATCAATGGAGGGAATATTAACACAATTGAGTACGAACAGGCAAATTATTCTTGCTGGGGATTTCAATGTAAGTTTCAATACATTAGATGTTAATACAAGTAAATTGTGTGACCTTCTCGCTAGCTTTGGCTTAGAAAGAACAATCTTTGAACCAACTCGTGGGGACTCCTGTCTTGACAATGTTTTCCTTAGTAGTGCGATGGAGCTGTGTGGCTCTTATAAAGGTCAGGTGGTTAAATTTCTTGGTTGTGAACCCACAGGTTTTACTCAAAATAAAAAAATGTATAGACCAGTAACACAAAGAGGTTTGTTTATGTTACACAGTAGGTCATCGGAGATATCTTGGGATTTCATTACTGCTGATAGTACCAGCGGTGAACAAAAGTTTAGCCACTTCATGGATATTCTTCAAGAAGCCTATACATACTCTTTTCCAAAGAAAACTTATGTGGTAAGATCCGACCAGGGCAATAATATTTCCTGGTTTAATACCGAACTAAGGGCAATGAGGGAAGATTTGAGGTTTTTGAGAGAGCTGAAAGGGCAGTATGGTTTTGTGAGTGACCAGTATTATAAAAACTACAAAAATCTATATAGAAATAAAATAAGAAAAGCTAAGATAAGTGCTAATGACAAACTTGTAAAGAGCTCAAGTAATCCTGCTAAAACTGTGTGGGATATCATTAACAAAAAAAGTGTAATAAGTGCTCTGGGAGCAGTGACCTGTCACCTGATGACTTTAATAAATTTTTTTGTAACATAGCAGGTAATATAGTAAATCACATCCCTGATGTACATTTAGATCCTGTTAATAATATTGATTTCCTGGTACCGGCACCTCTGTTTTCTTTCTCTGAAGTCACATTTAACGAGGTTCGCGATGCAATAGATAATCTCAAAAATAAAAACAGTAAAGATATTTTTGGTTTCAATTTAAAAATTGTAAAATGTATAAAGAACATAATTTTGATCCCTCTAACACGAATATTTGTCTTCGAGAAAATATTTTTCCAACTGTTCTAAAGAGAGCTAGTTTTAAGAACGGCAATGTTGATTCACCAGAGAACTACAGACCTATATCCCTTCTTCCAGTTATCTCTAAGAACGTTGAAAAATGTATGGTTTTGCGACTGGTAACCTTTTTTGAGGCAAATGAATTGTTTTCACAATATCAGTTTGGTTTTCGCCAGGGTAAGAGCACTGTTATGGGTGTACTTAACCTGATTTCTTCTATAATTGATGGTTTCCATGGAGGAGGGTATAACACGGTTCTTTTCTGCGATCTTAGTAAGGCATTTGATTGTGTGAGCCATGACATCCTTTTAAAAAAGCTCCTTGCTTACAACTTTAGTTATGATTCCGTTAAACCAATTGAGTCTTACCTTAGTAATAGAACTCAGGTGGTGAGATGTAATGGAGTGACATCAGCGGAGCGAAGTGTTAATATTGGCGTCCCACAGGGCTCCATCTTGGGCCCAATTCTTTTTTTAGTTTACATAAATGATTCACCTCTCAATAACAATATGGCAAACTTTACTCTCTTCGCGGATGATACGACCATCTCTCACACCGCTAACAGTTTTGAGCGCTCAATGGCACAGTCTCTGGCTGCGCAGGATGAGGCTGAGCTGTGGTTTTGCTCCAATAAGCTGTTGCTAAATAAAGATAAGACAAAGAGAATGGTGTTTTCTATGCGAAGCCTGCCTGGAGACAGTGATTTGGTTGGTGAAGCCAAGTTTCTGGGGGTTACTTTGGATCCAAGATTGCAATGGGGCCTTCACATTGATAGTGTTGCTGGAAAGGCCACCAAAGGTATATATGTGCTACGGAGTTTGTCTTCTTGTGTTTCTGTAGAAATATTGAGAATGGCTTACTTGGCCATTTGCCATTCGCATATATCCTACGCCATTCTGGCTTGGGGGCATTCTTCAGGGGTCCATAGACTGTTCGCCTTGCAAAGAAGAGCAGTTAGGGTTGTGAGCCGTCTGGTCTACAGGGACGATTGCAGAGATACCTTTGACAAGTTGGGAATCCTTACTGTGCCTTGTTTATATATTTTTGAAAATCTACTATTCGTTAAAAGAAACTCTAACTATGTAACTCATGGGGACGTCCATGAGCACAATACTAGGCATAAGAACAATCTAGTAGTGCCTTATTGGCGACTGAGAAGGTGTCAAGATGGACCTGGTTATTGGGCAGTCAAATTTTTTAATGTACTTCCAAACGGCTTAAAATCGCTTCCGTTTAAAGATTTTAAAGTTCAAATCAAGAAAATTCTTATTAATAACTCATTTTACACGTTTGAAGTGTTTTTAAGACATAAATTTTAACTATAAATCTTAATATGTTATGTTAGCGTTATATCTTTATGAGTGCTGGTGTACTTGTTTGTAATTTTTTATGATCATTAGCACCCCCTTTGTTTTAATTCTAATGCAATTCTCATTTGATCTACTGACGTATGTAAACATATTTTATGTATTGTGACATGAATAAACAATTGATTGATTGATTGATTGATTGAAATTTTTTGTCTCCGATGGCTGACGCAGCATCTACATTGGTGACGAGTCGCAGTGTCTACTGTATATCCTTTAATGTACCATAAAGGGTACATCCTTTATCTACTTCCTTTCTTCCGAGACAAGAATCATACCGTACCAATTGTCATTCAGAGTAGAAAAACTCATTGGTCCTTCCCCTGAGAAAAATACCATGGCATCCGTGGCAATTGTCCATCAGAGCATACAAACTCATTGGCCCTTTTTCCATTTGTACGTCTTTATTTCCGTGTGCTCGGCAGGCCACTTGACGTTTTTATTAATTAAATGGTGGCATTTGTGAGGTCTTTTTCAGTTTTTTCAACGACCGAGGCAGAGGGGACCCTTTTCACCGTCGACGGTGCTTTTTATTTGATACAGCCAGATTCGTAGCATTAGGTGGGATTCATAACGACCAGTTGAACAAGTGGATGATATAGAGAATTTTGGCATTAATTACACAGCCCTATAAAAAAATAAAGCTCGAGATCCATGTTCTGTGACATCCTTGCTTTCTTTTACGCTGGATGCTAATACGCGAACTTGATCAAAAAAGATTCTAGTCGTCTAGAATTAAAAAGATCCTTATACCCCTAGAGTTTACCCCAGGGCCCAGAAGGAGTTTCGGATGCTTGTTGCTGGAGCATGGTATTCCCATATAATTTTCGATGCTAAATCCAAATTTGCGGTCGAAAAGGTCCGTATACCCCAAGAGTTTAACTCCGAGTCCTAAAACTATGTCTAGGAGCGGTGAAAATTGAGTTTTGTAAGTCAGATGCTCGGTATTCTCATGCTTTTTTCGACGCCGAATCCGAATTTGGGGTCAAGAAAATTTTTACTCCCCTTGAATTTGCCCCAGGATAAAAAACTACCACTATTCGAATTCGGATTTAATTTCGAAAAATATATAGGACTGTGTTGGTCAGTTGTCTTGGCGAAGTGTCGTGGCTCGTACCTTTAAGTGTTTTTATTAAACTTAATTTTTCAAGATACCGATTATTTTCGAGCGTAGTGATTTTTTGAAGTTGAAAACCTATCAAAATATCCAAATCTTGTTTTTGCGACAGTATTCAGTTTCTAGTTACTTCAGGCCAAAGTGGAAAAAGTATATGGGACTATATTTTGAAATCAGGAGTAGGTCTTATTTAATTCCTACTAAGGACGCTTAGAGTGTTCCTGTACCTGTATAAGTTGTCAAAGAAAGTGGCAGACTGGTTGAAATTAGGTGTGAAATGTGCGGGACGCTTCCAATAAATGACAATGTTCTAGACCTTGGACAACATGCCACTCATTTCCGTCGGTCTGTCTGTCTATCTCTCAGTCTGTCGGTCTGTCTGTCAGCTAATAAAGACGTCCTTAAAATGAAAAGTTTTGCTCAGATTTTGGTGAAATTGTCTCACAAGGTTGTGTGGAACAGATCAACGTTGCCAGATGGACAGTAACTACGGGTAGGGCAGGGAAATGATGCTTATGGACTAAAATGTCTTTATTAATACATATACATCAATGTGGCAAAGTTTAGCCAAAAGGCTACTCTTACACTTAACCTCACTGTGTGCGAAAGAGTAACATAGTTAAACTCGATACACAAACAAACAATAGTAATAATAAGAAGAAAAGTAAATGAATTGAATAGATAACGTGTTGACAACACAGACACACGAACCAACAGAGTAAAATGTAATAAAAAAAGAAAAAAGAAATAAAAAATGCACACTTGAACTATTAATATCTCATCAGCTATTTCTTAACGAGTCTCCTGAAAGGTACTATTGTTTTACTGCGACCCATTTTATCTGTAGAGTTGTATAACTTGACAGCATGAAATGTGAGGCTTTTCTGGAAAAGGGCTGTGTAGTGGACTGGCATCGCAAAATTTACGTTGTGTCTGAGATTTCTCTGATTAATATTACCTC